AACTTAGGATCCAGCTCAAGGGGAGGCTTCAAGGCCTGACACTATTACTGATGCTATGTTGTACTTACAGACAGGAGCCTAGCATGGCTGCCCTCTGAGAGGCCCAACATGCGGCTTAGACAGATGTGGATACTTACATCTAACCACTGGTCTGAAGTCAGGGACCTCTGTGGTTGAATTAGAGAAAGGCTAGAAAAAGTTGAGAAGGAAGGCGACCCCATAAAAAGACCAGCAGTCTCAACTAACCTTGACCCCTGTAGGTCCAAGAGCCATGTCAGCTCTGCCACAGGGCTCAGGGAGGGGGGAGGCGGGAGGCGGGAGGTGGGAGGTGAGAGTTTTGACTGTGCTTACCCCACACCGGCTCCAGGCGGGATACCACTCAGGGGAGTGGGGAAGCACATTCTGAGGTCCCGGAGCCGGCTTGGGGATCCCCGGACCTGCCAAGAGGTCAATGCCTTCTGGTTCTCAGGCGCTTGGGCAGCCAGGCACCACTGGAAGCTGTGGAAGAGCTGAAAACAGAGTGGGGGCCCACAGCTGGATCAGGCTCAGGGCTGAAGGGAAAAGGGGGAGCGAGCTCCAGCTGAGTACCGCGGGGCTTCTCTGTGGGCTTGTCTGTGGGCGTCTGGCTTGGCTTAGTAGTTGTGACTAGGAGCACAGAGGCCTAGTATGGGAGACTAGACGGTGGCTCTGTAGGCGAAAGCCTTCATTGCTTCCCATAGCAGATCCCAATGAAAAGAGACAGTTCCGGAAAAAAAAAATGTAAAAAAGCCTTTAATCCCAGCACTTGGGAGGCAGAGGCAGGAGGATTTCTGAGTTCGAGGCCAGCGTGGTCTACAGAGTGAGTTCCAGGACAGCCAGAGTCACACAGAGAAACCTTGTTTTTTTTTTTTAAAAAAAAAAAAAAAGAAAGAGAGACAGTCCATGGTTTTAGACCATTTTTTGTCATGGTGGAGAGTGGTGGTAAGTAAAACCACCTTAGTACCCTAGTTTGTGAGGTTAAATACCTTTTGCAGTGAGGAATGTCTGGGAAGAAAAGCTAAATTGGTTAATCCCTTCAGGCTTTCAGGTACTTCATTAAAATGGAGATCTGTCTTGAGGCTATGTGACTTGTGGTTACATTTTCTACCTGTGGAGGAGCTTGGGGCCTTGCTCTAACAAGGTCCACAAATCTATGGAGGGCTGTGGCCTCGCGTCATTGTTACTTTAGCTGTCTCCATTGTTAACCAGTATGCTCCTTTAAATCCAGGCATTGCTTCTAATTTATACTCTGAGATTCAGTGTCTAGGAAAGCAGTAACTGAATATTTGCTGAACGGATTTATGAATAGGTAAAATGTACTAGCAGAACTGGACCACAAAACTTCTATTAGAGTACCAGAAGTGATGGGTCATGCCTTTAATCCAAGCACTCGGGAGGCAGAGGCAGGTAGATCTCTGTGAGTTCGAGGCCAGCCTGCCTGGTCTATAGAGTGAGTTCCAGGACGTCCAGAGCTATAAAAAGAAACCCTGTCTCAAAAAAAAAAACAACTATCAGAAGAGATGAGAAAATGAAGTCAGCATAAAGAAGAGAGCCAAAGTATAAAGGATCTCGAAAAGGATCCTTACTTATATCAGCACGCCTTACAGTTTGATAGCCTCTCAAATACTGACTTCATTTATCTTCCAATAACCCTAGAAAGTTAGCAGTGCAGGCAGATGAAGATGCACATTCACTGACCCATCAAGTAACTAGTTTAAGGACACACCTCTAATTAGAAATGGAGGTGTTGGAGCTCCTAGTTCAGTACTCTATTATATGAGTGTCTCTACAAGCTGAGGCATTCTAACATTCACCAGTGGAGTGACCACACTAGTCACTGAGTACAGGATCATCAAAATAAAATAAGTGTTTTCACAATCATTAACTGGAACGTAATAGGTATTAGCACTTGTATTAGTCACTTTCTTTGTGGATGTGACACTGTAATTGTCAGAAGCAACTTAAGAGAGGAAGGATTTGTTCTAGCTCAAAGTGTCAGTGAACACAATCCAGTGTGGCAGGGACAACATAGGGCTCTGTCCCTAACAGTACAGTCTAGTATCTTGTTCATATCTTGGCCAACAAGGAAATGGAAACCTTGGGCCAGAAGTAGGGTCTGACTACATCCTTCAAGGTCCATGCCTAGCCTGCTACATTCTACTTCCCAAAGGTTCTACAACCTTATAAAACAATGCTACCATTTGGGGATCAACTGTTCAGATACATGATCCTGTAGGAGATATTTCAGAACAAACTAACAATTCTTGATACTGATAATAAAACCTGGATATAGTCATATATGTAAGGCAAATACAAGACTATATCTAAGGCCAATCATTTTAGTTCCCAGAATTTGCCCAGAGTTGAAGCTGTGTATGAGGCAGCTCAAAATGCATCTTTAGCTGTTGTCATTTATCTCCTTGAAAATAATCTATGAAGTACAGAATAGGTAGAGTCAGATGAAGTAAGAATGCCCATGAGTTGATAATTATTAAGGAAAGAGATTGGTATCAAAAGTCTCAAATATGACCTTAGAGTAAAATTCAGTCAAAGGAAATAACCCAAGCATACTATGAACTAAATCAACCTTGGCTAGAAATTGCCTGATACAGTTAAATAAGCACCAGTTTAAACGAAAAGGCCCAAATTCTAATTCTGCCTATTTTTTTTAACTTTTTATTGGTTCTTTGTGAATTTCACATCATGCACACCAATCCTACACATCTTCCCCTCTCCTCATATCTGCCCTCTGCTCTTGCAACCTCCCCTTAAACAGGGGAAAAAATCTTGCTATGGAAGTAGTAATGTATCACAGTGTGTCCCACAGTATATCCTTTTGGCCATATTTTGCTTATAAATATTCATTACAATGAGTCGTTGGTCTGGTATAAGCCCTCTGGCTTCTGCTACTCCATCAATACTAAAACCTCACTGGGACTCCTCTCAGATGTTCTGTTGTTGCCCAGTGTCATGGAGGTCCTGTAGTTTTGGATCTGTAGGTCCAGTCCCTTCACGCACTCCAGCAATTCATCAAAGGGGTAGATGTTGGGTGGGCCAATTCAAAGCCCTGCATCTGGTCCTAAGAGGTATCTGAGCTGGTCTGAAGTGGAAATTTCTGGGTTCTTTCACAACTCAGTTGTGTCACATGATATTTTCCTGGAAGCTGTCTTGTGAGAGGCCATATGATATTCCGCTGAAAACAGACACTTGAGAGGGTGTGTGATGCTTAGAAAGAACATAAACAGAATCCCACAAGCAGTGGAAGGATGCTCTTCCATTGCTATGCCAGGTAATGCTTCACTGGTCTTCGCTGGTCTTCACTGGTTTTCACTTCATAGAGAAAAATGAGCCAAAGAACTTCTTGTGGTATTCTGGCTGATTCTGGCCACTCCAGCTGACTCATACTAATTCGGAGGAGCCTTACTGTTTCTGCTGGATCATGCTGCCACAACTGATTCAGTTGGTGTTTGCTATTGAGTTGAACCCTCAAGGAACTACTTCTAAACAGGTCACAACACCCTTTTCCTATTAACCTTCTTTCTCCCCTACCTCTGGTTGGTGGGCTAAAAAGGAGGTTGAAATGATTAAGGACCCTAAATAAAGTAGGTTTTGAAAAATCTAGGCCTACACTGGTCAACCCACCAGCTCTCCTACACTTGGGGCTGGCTCACCAGCAACAGGGCTCTGCTGCCCAGGTGAAGTGCAGGGCCTGCTCTCCTGAGTGTGGCAGCTGGTGAGGGAAATGGCCTGTTCTCCCACTCTCATGACCCCTTCAGGGCCAGCTCTCTCACCTGCCAAAGATGGTGAGGAGAAGGGAGGGAGGGAAGGAGGGTACCTCTCCCTTGTCCTTACCATCTCCCAGCAGACAAGAGGCAGGGCCAGCTTTCCTGCACTCATGCACCCCCAGACCAACTTACCTGCAAGTTAAGGGCCAGCTCTACTGTGCTTCCTAGACAAGATGTAGGGCCTGCTTTCCCAAGTGCTACAGCAGGTGAGGGGAAGGCTTGTTCTGCTCTTATGACCCCTTCAGGCCAGCTTTCCTGCCTGCCACTGGTGGCAAAGGCAAAAGGAAGGGGAGGGGATCTTTCCCTTGCCCACGTCATTACATAGCAGACAAGAAGCAGGACCAGCTCTCCCACACTCATGGCCTCAAGGGCCGGCTCACCCACAACTCCTGCAAAGTGCAGCCTGCTCTCCCAATACTAAAGCTAGCTAGGGGTGGGGTCAGCTCTCCTGCTCTCATGCCTTGAGGGCCAGCTCTCCCACAATGCCCAGGTGAGGGGTGGGGCCAGTTCTGCACAGCCTGCAAATATCCACATGCTTCCCGGCAGCAAGTAGTCCAGACAAGTGATGTCTGCCTGGCTTTTGGTGGCAACAGAACCCTGCTGCTGCAGGGCCATGGATATAGCCCCTAGTGACAGCATGGGCTAGGACACCACCATGGTCCCAAGTGGCATCATTGACCACTCATATCAAGCTGTTCCTCACTACCCTGGAGTCTCCAGTTCTGCCTCTCTTCATTGTGCTCACATCCTTCTGTTTCTCTTTCTGCTCCATTTCTCCACCGCTTACTTGTTCCTCTTAGTGGCACCCAGGGTCTCCGAGTGTCAGGGAGTTCTCAGGAGTACTATGCCCCACTTGTGCATTATGGTGCCAGATAGAGGTCATCTCAGGCATGGTCTTCCCCTTCCCCAGACCTGCATGGTGACAGACTGATGGTCATCTCAGAGCAACTCCCTGTCAGGTTCCCATGGTGCCAGTCTGGTGGTCATCTCAGGCTGCCTCCTCATCCAGCCCACCCAGATGGCCCCTTGCAATGACCATCTGTCTTGGGCTCACTACTGCTTGGGACTTGTGGTCCCAGGCAGAGTTCTTCTAGTCTCCAGTTTGCTCTCCTCCCCCACCCACCCCCCATCCTGAGAGCCTGTCTGGGCCTGTCTGGTGCCATACTGGTGTTTGTCTCAGGCTTGCTTTTCTCAGGGAATGATAGGCTACTAATCATTCAGATGTTCACAGGTCAGAACACTGAGTGAAGACACAGCTTCCCTCCTCTCTGCCACCTACTGATGCACATGTGACATGGCAGCCATATATCTCCAATGCCTCAAGGGACAGGCTGCCTCCTACTTAGTATAGTGGCAATGAGCCTCTGTTTTCTCTATCAAATGGGGCCTGTTTTGGCTACCTCACAAGATTTTGTGAACATTTAATAAATCATATAAGCAGAACTATAGTCAGGAGATAGTAGTGGGCAGGTGCCTTTAATCCCAGCACTCAGGAAGCAGAAGCAAGTAGATCTCTGAATTTGAGGCCAGCCTGGTCTACAAACAAGTTCCAGGGAAGCCAGGGCTACACAGAGAAACCTTGTCTCAAAAAAAGAAAGAAAGAAGGAAAGAAAGAAGAGAAAAGAAAAAAGAATTAACTACATTTCATAAATTGACATAAATAATAATTATTTTGTTATTAGCAAATGCATATTCCATTACCCAGTCAGATTTCTTCATTTTGTTTTTCACAGTTTTTTCTCTTAAAATATCCTAACTTTACCTTAGATACATGTAGGGGATAAGAGAGGTTAGTTGTCTCATTCAATATTGGTGAATCTGTGTTAAATTTAACAGAGAAAAAGAAGGAGCAGGGAATGCCTGTGACCCCCTTTCACCTGAACCACTCTCTCAAAGATGAACATTTACAATGCCAACACTAGCAGCTATTACTTCCTGACTGCCAACTGTGTCAGGCTCTGTTGTCTGCTTTACTTAACCCTTTAACCCTCTTCCTTATAAAATAGGTATTATTACTAGCTGCATTTTACAGATGAAGAAACACAGAAACAAACTGGTTAAGTGACTATCTCAGGGTTACACAGCTAAGTGGCAGAGCTGCCATTTGACAAGAACAGTCTGACTCTAGAGTCCAAAGGATTAACCTTCACCCTAAACTTTATTGAAATCCACTCATCCATCTATTCTCATCCCATATCCCACCTAATGTATGTCTCTCAGGAGCTGGGAGATGGCTCAGAGGGTAAAGTCACTGCTGAACAAGCATGAGAACCTTAGTTAATAACCCAGAACCTACATAATACCAAGTGCAGCAGCATACATCTACCTATATACCTCTGACCTATACAATACACAGACACACACACACACACACACACACACACACACACACACACACACACACTATTTGTCTCACAATTGAAGTGAACAGATAATAGAGTAGGTATTTTGCATGACAGAGAAGGCACTTAGATTTCTGCCATGAGATTGTATCTGCCCATTCCAAATATTGCGTTCTCACCTTGGAAAACAGAAATGGCTGCTGGGATCACCTGTCTAGTTCTGAATCCCCAAAGTCATTCCCTGAACCAGAGTAGAGTCTTGTCCTGATCTGAATTCTGCACCCCAGTTAGGATCTAGGTCTCATACTAGTCAGTGACACAGTGTCTCAGACTCATATAATACTAGGACTTCATCACCACATCCTTTTAAACTCTTGCATCTGAATACTTCTTTAGCCCTCTGTCTTAATCCAAATCTACACTTGTTCCCTAATCCTGGAAATGAATTTCTATATGTGAAGCCTACCTCTCTCAAGTTTGAAGCCCTACAATAATAACCAGTTAAAAACCAAAATAAAGACATGACATACTGTTCCCGGTCAACCTATAGTATTTTTCCACTTCTGTCAGAGTAGCGCTAAAGATCTCTAAGGTCCCCAAGGTCTGCCGTATTCGATCTTTCTGACCCCAGCTTTTCCCATTCTCACCCACATTCACTTTGTTTCAGCTTCATTCATCCCCATATGGTTTTTCCAATGTTCCAGCTAGATTCCTGATACAGAGCCATTTTTTAAAAAGAGAGAGAGAAGCCTTTTTTAAAAAAACCTTTTTGTCAAGAGAAGTAAGCCTTTATTTCCATGTTTCTCAAATTAAGCTTGCTAAGTTGGTTGCTTTAAGGGGATTAGTCAAAGAGACCCAGTCCCATTTCCTCATCTGATTCCTCTGACTATTCCTTGGCTTCATCTTAGGCTGGGGCAGCAATGGTGGCAGCAGCCACAGGGACAGAAGCCACAAATGCAGATGGAACATCCACAGACGCTTTGACCTTTTTAACAGGTGAGCAGGTAGGGAATATAAATAAAAGATAAAAATATCTATCTGGGTTCCCTGAGGGACAAGCCTGACTGCATTAAGGTTGATGTCAAAAGTATCCCCTCTCCAGGAAAAAGACATTGGGACGGGTATGGCCCTCATGCCTCACTGGACAACGACAGGGGGACTGGAGCCATTACAAGGTCCCCTTCAAATACTGGAGGTCAGGCCTCTATCCCTCCCTTCACAAGTTTAGAATTGCCACAGCCCTTCTATACTTAGAGAAGGGAGGAGATGTCAGGGGCAGCCCTGCTTACACACTGAAGGCCTAAAATCAGCCATAGGCCTAAAATTAGCAACAGGTCTGTCATACATGTATGCTAGCAACAAGTCTTGGGTCTCAGTGGAAAAACATTGAAACAGATGGCTATAAGCTAATATAAACAGGCAGCTTTTGTGGAAATTTACAAGCCTGAGTAGTCATAGACCTTGTAAATAGGTAGCCTTGGCAGACAATACCAACTTAGACAAGGTCAAGCGAGTCATAGGCAGATTCATAGTGACTGCTTTCCTTCACCCAGCTGATACTCAGTTCTGATGATATCTGTATTCCCCCTGAACACCCACACTCCATTGTCATTCCCTTCCCCACTTCCTGCCTTTCTGTGTTTATAACCCCTGTGTGAATGAATTACGATTTGAGAAAAAATAAATTATATAAAAAAAAAAACAGGTGGGCAGGTGTGCTCAGTCTCCACAGACCAAGCTAAGACCTACTTGTACCCACTGATGACAGAGTGCAGCACTGAGCAACAGTTGAGTCACCAGTCTGCAGACAGACGCTGGCCACGTTGTAGATTTCTCCAGGAAGCCAGACTTGAGTCTGCTCCTTACAGAGCCTTTTTATCATTACTGTGCCTGTACCAGAAAACTTTACCCACAAACTGATTTATCACTTTCAATGGAGAAATTGCAAACAGGCCCTAGAACATCTGGAAAATACATCAACAAGGTGATTGAAATTAGCCTTGTCATTAAAGACAAATATAGTACTTCTATGATGTCCTGGACTGTACACAACATCACTTTCACTAATTTTTTAGCACAGGTGAACTCTAACCAGGAGGAAACAGACAAGCCAAAATGAGAATGGTTCAATTTAAGGAAAAAAATAAAACCTCTTATTCTCTGAATATGTTTTCAATTAAACCCATATTACTACCAAATGCAATGTCTGATCCTGGATTGAGTTCTGTATTAAAGGAATAAATAATATATTGAAGAATATTATTTACTCAATGTGTTAAATGATTAATTGGTGGATTCAATTAAGTACTATGTCTGGGTTAAATTTACTGAAATTGCTAGCTATACTCTTCTTATATTAAAAATAAACTTATTCTTAAAAATACATGTTGAATTATTAGGAGGACATGATAATATATAACATGTATTACTTTGCTATGGCTCAAGTATATATAGATGGGGGACAGAAAGGTAGAAGGCGAGAGGGTGGCTAAGGAAAGAGCCTATGGTTATTATCTAGTCTTATAACTTTTGTGTAGTTTTTAATTGCTTCCAAGTACAGTGTTAAAGTGAATGAAAGTAAAATAAATTTTCATGCTCCATTTTTGTCATAGCACTCTTTAGTTTGTGTTACATATTTATTTATTTATTTATTTATTTATTTATTTATTTTTGTTTTTTCAAGTGAGCAAGACAGGGTTTCTCTGTGTATCCCTGACTGTCCTGGAACTCACTCTGTAGACCAGGCTGGCCTCGAACTTAGAAATCCCCCTGCCTCTGCCTCCCAAGTGCTGGGATTAAAGGCGTGCGCCACCACCGCCCAGCTATGTTACATATTTCTAATTATTCTTCTACCAACATCAGTGTTAAGTTGTACAAAGGTGGGAATTATACTGGGATTTATTCCTGGTACATATTACGGACCCAGTATATATTTTTTAAGCAGATGAATGGGCAAATGACAAAAATAATATCTCATCTTTCTTTATAAAGTACTTACAGTGTGTCATCTTGTTTTAGACACATTAGAGATATCATGTCATTTAATCTTCAGAACATGGCTAGTAAGCAGAGATAACAGGTTTAGAACGTAACAAGAACCTTAAGGAAGGGGCTTCAAGCCCAGGCTGGGCTGGCAAAAGAACTAATTTTCTTTCTTTGCTTTCTACCACATGCTACTTCTAACTCTTGTTAAAATACTGGCTTATGGCTGGCCGTCTATGTGCTCTGGATATTCCTCACCTTGCTTCAAATGAATTACAGAACTCTAACATGTCAGGAAGACAGTGTTCCCAGTGACACCATCTAGCCCAGCAGCTATAAAAAAAAAATGACATCATTGACCATGCCACCAGAAGCTGGGGATTTGAAGAAATTCAAATTCTCACGTGCCACCTTTTAAATAAGAAACTGTGGAAGATAGGGCGAACTACTGTGATTTCCACGCATATGAAAGTTTGAAAATCACTGCTATAGTCCAACTTTCCCATTTTAAACATGAAAGCATTGAAATGCAAGTGTCCAAATTCACAATATTGCTCCATAAGAGAACCTGTGTTTTACCCTTCAATCCAGTACTCTTTGCAATATACCACACTGTTCCAGAAAAAAACATAATGCTCACCAACTACATTTTGAAATGATATAAAATCCTTTTCTTCTACTAGGAAAGAGTTTAAAATGTTAACATTCCAGTGAGCTTGGGGCAACTAGAAAACAGGAAGAATATATCAAATACACCTGTATTCCAAAGGGCAAGGAGAGACTACTTTTAGCATGAATTTTGCTTCTCTGGATATCAGAGGTCCTAGAGAGCAACCACCTCAGAAAAATAATTGTGGCATTCATCCCTCACAGGCTTCTAAAAGCAGTTGACCAGATGCATCCCATAAAGCAGAGAATAGACCTTCCACTGGGAAACAGCATATAGATAGACACCGAAAACACAGGAATTCTGCAAGAAGCAACTAGCAGGGCCAAAGAGATAGCTC